CTTTAATTTTTAGAACATACTGGGACCATGGATTACTTGCTAAACAGCTAATCAAGCTAGCGTAAATGCCACGTTAAATAAAGTGTTATCTTATCTTACTTTACCTTAAGTCGACTCCTGCATATTTTATTAATTAACCCAGTTCTGGGGCATTGTTGTTCTTGCTGTTTCCAACAGGCGAAGCCTCCAGCTAAAGTTACTGATGTGACTAAAGACTTAAGAGATGGGCAAATACTTCTTACTCTTATGGAAGTACTCTTTGGAGTTAAAGCACCAGAGCTGAACCAACGTCCAAACGGATCAACCAGATAAAAAACGTCCAAGAAGCCATGAGTATTCTTCTGCAAAACAATGTATGTAAACCAGTGTCAGATATAGTAACTACAAAAGGCTACAGAAAGGCAACCACCCTGGTAAAAGGAGAAATTTTACTGCAATTCGTTGCATCCATTTTGGAATCACTGGTGATCAATGCAATCTGATTGGCTTTTCGTATGATAATAATATCATAACAGTAACAATAATAATAATAATAATAATAATAATAATAATAATGATAATTTATAAGGCGCAAAATAGCATTTAAATATATGATCTAATGCGCACTAACAACCAAAGAAAAAGAAAAAAAAAGGCAAACAAATAAATTAAAAAAATTAAAATAAATAACAAATAAAAAATAATTAAAATTGGAATATTGTATAAAATTATACTTAAAATTTCCTAAAAAAAACCCTAAAAATTTGGTATAAATCTCTTTATATACACAATTTAAAAGGCAATTATAAGATTCGATTATAAAATGTATTGAAACTAAGAAATTCAAATTATGTTAAAAACGTTAATTGATAAGTCATTCATGAGTCGTAAATCTATTAATCATAGGCTTCTTTAAAAAGTAAAGTTTTTGGTTTGGCTTTAAAGGGAACCTCCACTTCAACAAAAAGATAACTTTAAATCACAGGAAATAAATGTTACAGTCAAGTCAATCTAAAATATTTTTAAAGAAAGCGTTTGTATCCGAAAGAAATAACTTTTAGATTCGCCTCTTTTTGTTTTCAAATTTTGCGGGCGTCGCCATCTTGAATAATTGTGACGTGTAATGGTTGCCCTATTGTTATTAAACAAAAGCTCTTTGTGTCAGAACAACAGAGCAACCATTACACGTCACAATTAGTCAAGATGGCGGCGCCCGCGAAATTTGAAAGTGAAAATAAGCGATTTTAAAATTCACTTTTCCTGATATAAACACTTTTTTAAAGACAAATTTCGAACAAATTTGTTTATCAACATAATTTTATTCGATTTAAACTTATTCTGTAGTAAGAGTGGAGGTTCCCTTTAAAAGGCTTCAAGCTTGTTTCCATCCTTAATGCACTTGGAAGTTTGTTCCATAGAGTCGGCGAAGCCAATTGGAAAGTCCTGTCGCCTAAGGTCATTTTAGACTTGAACGTCGGTGGAGCCAGTAACAGTTCATCATTTGACATAAGGTGGTAGGAGGACTAATCTCCTTGACTTCGAGTAAATCAGAGGCACCCAACGAGAATATAGTTCAAAACCACTTAAACGAAGCATTGTTAAACGTATTTTGGTATTTAAACGATAGATATAGGCATATTTTTATTACATTATAGGGATCAAAACTTACCTTTTCGAAAATTTCAGACAGAACAAAGGCTCCCGAAAATTCTAGGTGACTTTTTAAGGGTAAAAATCCCTTAAAAATGGGCAATTATACTATTTTTTAGATCTTCGAAAATCCTAGGAGAGGCGGGCAAGCAAGACATTTTACAATAAATGTTCCGAAAATTCTACTTTAATTTAGATCTCGAATCGTTTTCCGAACAGGTATTTTCCGAAAATTGCCGTCGGGTTCCCCTGTTAATTAAATTTTGTATATAACATGGAACCAGTCCAGGCATGTATTGCTTTAAACGTTATAAGTATCACCTTGAGTTTAATCCTGAAACTTATTAGTAACCAATGCAACTGACGCAGTACAGGTGGAGTATCTATTATTAACCTGGCAGCCATATTCTGAAGACGCCGTAGCTTATTGATATTATTTCTTAAGAGACCGTAGAGTAAGCTATTACAGTAATCTACGCGCCCCATTACCAGTGCATGAACCAAACGTCTGGTTGAATTCAACGTTAAATATTCGCTCTGCAGATAGTAGTAACCTGTACAGCATGTTTTTGTAATTTGAGCATCAAACTTCAGATTTCGATCGAACAGAACTCCAAGATTCCGTGCAGTACTAGCAGGAGCAACGCTGATGTCACCAACTGACAATTCTGACATGTTGTGAGCGACTAGACAAATATGACCTCAGCCACTACAGTACTGTGCCCGTGATTCCGAAGGACATCTCGAGTCGGCGAATCATGATGTCATGATCCAGGGTGTCAAAAGCTGAACTTAAATCCGAAAGGACTAACAGCGTGACATGCTGTCGATTCGTGTTGTGAAAGATATCATTGACAACTCTCAAGGGCGCTGTTTCAGTGCTATGCTGCTTTCTATATGCTTTCTATATCCTTATACAGGATACAAGTCATTGTCTTGCAAGTGTTCATGTAACTGGTCAAATACAGCTCTTTCTGTTACTTTGGAACAAATTGGACTACTTAATTGTCTTTCTAAATCACATCATTTTTGCTCTAAATCGCATCATTTCTGTTTCGCATAAAAAGTGAGCTGTAAACTGAGCGCTCCCGGTTCCACTTCTCAACGAACCGGCTACTAGATTAATAAAATATTGGTACCGACCGAAGTTTTCGATTTCAGATTGGTTATAATACGCGTGATTTTAAACCGAATTCGCGCTGTGCACCAATCACTCCTATGATTTCAGACCAAATTGCACTCTACTCAGTTACCTCAATTCATCAAATACTCACGTCGATTAATTGTTATAACAAACTATTGTGAAGGCACCAGTGCTCATTTTTGTATTTTGTGGTAAATTAAATGAGTAAAAAAATTATAAAACGATCTTAAAATTTGAAGGCTCCTTTTATATAAACAGAAAAACCGAGACCCATTCGTTTCCACTGTATGTGAAATTACACGCCCATTGAATAGATGGCCTTGCTTTCTCTTCTCCCAGGGGATTTCGAACGTCAATTACTCTACACAACCGGTGCTCATACTTTAAACACCAGTAACTTCTTATTTGAATTTGAAGATTCAATCCATTGCCACCAAAGCATTTACACATATCGCACATTACATGTAATGTAACGTCTCAAAGTTTTTTTTCACCCATTCAGAAGGTGGAACACAGGCAGAAGTTTAAAAAAAAATGGACTAAATTTTCTTTTGTTGTTTCATTTATGACCTGCCCAATGTTTTATTCACATGTTGGCATTTAGTCGATTTAGTACCATATTTACCCAAGCTCTACTTCAACTTAATAAACCTTCAGTTTCACATGACGCTTGGCCATGCTGGTGTCCTGGGCCAGTCCTGTGGGAGTTAGCCTAGTTTCTTGCGTAATCGCTTTCTCTCGGTCCAGTAGTCAAAATGCTTTATATAGTTGTTAACAATTTATTAGTAGAGTACGCATGTACTGAATTGAAATTTTGTGTTATTTTTAGATCAAATCATTTGGTGTAATCGCAAGTGAGATCACAGCCGGTGATGAAAAGGCTATTTTATCTTTGCTCTGGCAAATCATCCGCTGGCGTCAGGTATAACATTACTTGAATTTGTATTTTTAAAAAACGTTTTACTGTGTAACAACTCTTTCCTTGGCCTCCAATTTGCTTCTGCTTACTTCGCTCCATGTAAGGGAATCCAGATTCCCGATTCAGGGAAACTTTTGCTCGTGGAATCCGGAATACTGGGCTTTGCAATCCGGAACACATCTCAAGAATTCCGGAATCCCATTAAAGATAGGAATCCAGAATCCAAGTTCCTCTGGCAAAGACTGAAATTCAGTGTCTTGAATCTGGAACCCACGGCATGGAATCCAGAATCCAAGACTGTCTTGGATTCCCTTACATGATGAGCCCTACTGATAAAGACCCATTCAATCTTCATCTGCTGTTCTTTAATTATATGATCTTTTCTATCAAGATAACAGAGGTGATAAAACCAGACCCCATGGATTATGATGAAGACAAGAAGCTGATAACTTGGTGTCAAGAACGCATCAAGGGGTTTGTACAGTGCTTCTATATCACGTTAACTGTATCTAGTTATTTGCTGTATATGTATATATAGGTAGAGTATGGTCGACCAGGTGAGCGTTGTACTGAATGGTACTGTAGTTGACAGTGACTGACGTTTTGACAACCTGTGCGGTAGTCATCTTCAGAGTCAAAGTGAGTTGTATCACGTCCGATCCTTTGATGGTTATTAACCTGGTTCGTCAAGTAAGTCACAATTTTATTGGTCGTCTGTCAGTTCAGCCGTAATGTTATTCGCTATAAAGACTCTTAATGTCATGGTGGTGCGTTTCGATCCGTCTATTGTCACAGTTTAACAGTCGTTTAACTAATACACGAGATGTTTAATAGCTCTTAGGTTATCCTGTACACAGACGCTGTTTTGTTTTTCTTTTCTTTCTTTACCCTCTTGCGCTGGCAGTCAATAAATCCCCCGCGGTTTTTATTTTTTATCACGCGCGCTAGACGGACTTAGAAGAGAAAATAAAGGGTCTGTGAACAGGCTACTCTCAAGTAAAGCTGTCCTAATATGGTTGTGTTACATTGTTACATGAACTATTTGCTAATCTACATTAAATTCTTTAGCCTTATCTTATGAAGCGTAATACACACTAGTTAAAATCAATGTAATTTACCGATCAAGGTAGTGATTTAGGTTTTCTATTTCTATTATCAATAACAGAAACAGCAATGTGCACATCAGTAACCTGACCACCGACTGGAAGGATGGTTTGGCATTCAACATTCTTCTTCATTCATTCAAGTAAGTAAACACTGAAAAAGCTGAAAGAGCTCTTGATCTCCTTACCACCTTATCTCCAATCATCATCGAAAACCAGCGAGGAAGCCGGAGCGACCAATAGCTGATTTTAAAATTTTTTTTCACGTGACATCAGAATTCCTTTTTAGGTCATCCTTGTCATAAAAGCTTTGGCCCATTTAGAGGATTAATCCGCAGCTGAGGCTGTCGAAAGTATGTCCATTCTAAGAAGTGAGCCACAGGTGTGCGTAATAAAATCAATGGTTGTTCATTCAAAATAATTTCCATTTCTAAATTGCTTCAATCCCTCAGCTGATTCTTCGTAACCTGTAATATACGGTAAAGTGACGTCAATAGTGCTAATATCGTCCGAAAAAGAAACGTCAAGCGAGAAGCCCTAGGGACGAAGTTGTTAGCTCACACGAATTGTCTCCAAACTGTCCAAATGAGATGCAGCTTCACCATTTTTCACGACGCTAGTCTTACAACTTGGAAGGCTCCGTATCGAACACACAATTGGTAATTCTTGTTTACAACTCGTACTCGCTGTCGCACGAGGTTTACTACTTGAATCTAATTTTCAAACTAAAACATGTAGTAAATATGGACAGGTCTGGACACGACTGCCTCAATCATAATCGGTGCGCAGTTTATGTCATAAGTCTAGACTGATTAAAGATTAAGTAGTAGAATTTCATGAGTGAAGGCGCGTTATTTTGTTTGTTTGTTCTATTTTTCCCAGTCCCTCTCTGTTTGATCTTGACACGATCAGTTCAAAGGACGAAATGAGTCGTCGTGTGCATGCGATAAACCTGGCAACTACTGAATATGGCATGCCAGCTATTTTCGACCCTGAAGGTAAGATTGGCAATGGAGGTATCTTTAGTTAAATTCCGGATAGAAGAAGGGTTTTTCCATTTATAATACATTAAGCTTTTCCGCGAAAACATATGTACGGAAGCAATTTTAATGAATCGATCTTCAGGGGCTATTTTACATGATGTATTTTTCGGATTTTTCTTCGTTAAGCATTTCAAAGTTTTGATGTAAAGCAGGTTCTTCAAGTTTTTAAATAGTCAGTACACAAATACCAATTTTACTCAAAGAACTCTTTCAAAGTATATATTTTACGTGTGTTGTTATTTCTTTGTGTAGATTTTGACAAGGATACTGCCGACAAGACTCTTATTACGTTGTTCCTGTCATATTTGTATGAATTTGCGGCCAAAGGGAGCTCTGTTACGATCGTGAAGAAGGAAGTAATAAGTCCTTTCGAAACATCACTGATGACAGAGGTAACGCTAATCCGCCTCATTTAAATTCCAGTGGGTATTTAAAAATGTTCGTATCAAACCCAGATGAAGGTCAAGAGGAAAATAATCACTGAGACTGTTAGTTTTTGTTTTACAGCAAGGAGCCCCAAAATGTGACGCTTTTAATTTATTCGCATTCTTTCGTGCAGATTTAATCCAATCAAAAGCCAACTGGAAACTGTCCTCGACTTCTGGTTGGTTAATGCCTTAACAATAATAACAATAATTTATGAACTTATTGTGCGCAGCTTAACGTGAGAATGATCAGCTGCGCATTACAACTGCATTACTTTACAAGAATCAAATAAAAGATAATGCATTTAAAAATAGAATAAAATGGCAATAAAAAGAATATAAAGTTCTAAAAAGATAAGTCTTAATACGTGCGCTTTAAAACTGTTCACATTAGTAATCGCGCGAAGTTCTTTTGGAAGAGAGTTCCAGAGTGTTGGCCCTGCTACCATAAAAGCTCTATCACCTAACGACTTCGATCGAACAGCTGGCATGGAAAGTAAAATGCTACCTGAAGATCTAAGGTTATATAAGGACGATTTAAATGTTAGTAAATCGCATAGATATTTAGGAGTAAGGCCGTGAATTGCTTTGAACGTAATAATCAGTATCTTAAATTGCATCCGGGTTTAACAGGAAGCCAATGCAGACCACAAAGAAGGGGTGAGATGTGGCAAAACCTAGGGGCATTATAAATTAGCCTGACTGAGGCATTCAAAACTCTCTGCAATTTGTTAAGCTGGTAGTTGGGCAGCCCATACAGAAGACTGTTCAAATAATCAACACGAGATGTAATAAATGCATGGACAAGCATTTCCGTTGATTCTCGAGACAAATACTTGCGAATGCGTCTGATATTATGCTAATGGTAGAAGGCAACACCACATAACTTGCTAATATGAGTTGACATAGTCATCCTCGGAGACCCAGGGACAGATAGTGGGGGCGAGGGAAAGTCTAAACGGGCGGAAAAATTAGGCGCGAAAGTAAAGAACGACGAGAAGAGCCCCTGGGGACAATGTCTTACCAGACCAGTTCCAAACGGTGCCGCCGTTTTGGCTTCTGATTGGTGCCAGAAAACTTGTTTATATTTTCCCGCCTCTTTAGACTTTCCCTCGCCCCCACTATCTGCCCCTGGGTCTCCGAGGATGTGACATAGTGAGCTGCTCATCAAACCATGAGCCTAGGTTTCTAGCTACCGTCACAGGACAAACATCAGTCGACCCAACCCTAATGCAATTGATGTTAACCTTGGCCAGCTGTTGCCTAGTGCCTATAATTAAAAATTCTGTTTTATCATCGTTTAACATAAGAATATCTGAAATCATCCAACTCCTAATGTCACTGATACAGTCAGTCATGGATTTGATGGTAAAATCAGCATCCGCAAATCGATTGGGGCAGAATGATACATACAACTGTGTATCGTCCGCGTAGCATTGAACCTGTGGGAGGTGGCGTCCAACGATCTGAAACAGTTTGTGCGTGTAGATGGTGAAAAGCAAGGGGCCCAAAGATGATCCTTGAGGAACACATTGTTTTAAAGGAAACTGATCAGAGAGAGTGCCATTTACAGAGACACGCTGGAACCGGTCAGATAGATACGATTTAAACCAGGCAAGTGCATTGTCAGTTATTCCCAAATCAGACTCAAGACGACCAATCAGCTTATCATGATGTATCGTGTCAAGAAATCGTGTCATGACATAATGTGAATTAATTAAAGGAGGTCACACTTTTGGGCTCCTTGCTGTAAAAAACTTTTACTGAGTCTTTATTTTCTTCATCAAAAAAATCGGAAAACTTCAAGTAAGTCAAACCCTGCATTGACGCTGTACACACTGAAAGTCCCGCGTCAAAATTGCTATCTGGAACAAACTAAAACAGTCCTGTAGTTGCTATCTTGGTATTTTGAACTTCTATCTTTATTCATTTATTTCTTTTTTGATTAAGTTAAGTAACAAAGCAAAATCACAACTACTTTTCTTCTTTCCATGGTCAATATCTAATTGTGATTACTCTTGGGCCAGGAATATGGTTTCAAGACAATCACGACACGCCATGAAACGTCGCGTTTAGGTAACACTACAGTTGACTTCAAAACAATCACACGAGCTGGAGAAAAGGATCAAGACGATGCCTTCCACGACTTTAAACTAGACAAAGAATCTGGACAAAAAACACTACTCCATACTTCGGCTTTCCCTCAAGGCGTAAGTGTTGAGCAGGTAAGCACGTTACTTTTAGATTTTGTGGCCGAACAAAACACAAACATAATTGAGTGAAAACTATATTACCTAGCTTAGTTGTATATGTTGTGGTTCAAATTTTTCCTTGGTTTAAAATTTTTCAAACCAGTTTAATTTTTACTTTCCTTTGTCTAAAATCAATTACCATAATCAGAGACAAAGAAAAACACAAATTAAACTGGTTTCAAAAAGATTAGGGCGTCATAACTCTTCTTACAAGAACTTGTTTTCTCTCCTTTTCACTTTCTCTTACTCTTTACATACGCCCATTTTTTTTCTACTAGTGGAAACACTCAGATAGAGTGAAACTTCTTTTAATTCTCTAGCTACGAGCAAAAATAACAAAAAGAGTGATGGCCAACCCAATTAAGTATGCCGTAAGAATGTAGAAGTGAAAGCTTATTGTTATACTGTCACTTCAAATAAAGCATCATCCTGTACTTTTTTCGTTTGCTTATGCACTTGCAAACCCGTGCGTATACTTTCAAGTTACTGATACTTTTTAACAGACAGTCACTCCATTTCTTTAATCTTTTCAGAGAAGATCTTTTGTTGTGTCTCCATTTCGAAGGCAGTCAGGAGGCTCCTCCAGAGCTTCGAGTGGTGCATCCAGCCCTATATCCAAAGATTTAGACCCCAAGGTACAGTGCAGTGTAAAATCTTGCTTGACAGAATTACTTCAGTGCACGTGGGCTCTGAGCGAGTGGACGTGCGCTTTAAGCGAGCAGAGTTATTGTAACTTTTTTCACTTTTCCTTCCCGCCTCGATTAGCTATAGGCTATTTTGCGGGCAAGGATCAATTATGGCATGTATCCAAAGCGTTTTAATAACCTTGAACTTGAACCTGAACTCTTTGCTTCTCGTCTGCGGCAGTTAATGTTACTCTTATTTATTAGTAGTTATAGATTATTTGGAGGACATTTGAAAATCACTCCGTTTTTGTCAGTTATAACAGAGATAAACTTGTTTGCCGCCTACTTTTCTTCCAGGAACTGGAATTGGAAATTCACAAGTTAGCACGACCCCCTGATACTTTAGGAGAGGGAAGTTACTCTGTTACACAAACCACGCGAATTGTGACAAATGGGAGTGAAAGGAGTTCTTCAACAACTACTCACCAGGTATCTATGTTTCGCTTTCATGACCAGTTTATTCAAAGGTGGTTTTACTTTCAATTATGTATCATTAATTAGGGATATAAAAAATATTTTAAGACATCATAACGCTTAAAAATTCCTGACCCTCCCTATTTCATTCCTTTAACCAATTTTATACCACTTCTTATGTAGAACCTACAAGGTCTTTTACCTGAAAATACGTAGATGTTTAAGTCCAAAGATATTGCCACATTTATCAGTGACTCTGAGATCCCTAATACAGTAAAAACCTGCGTGTAAGGATCTAGTGGTTTAAGAACCTGCTGGCAAAAAATATTTGCCATTTTAATACCCAAAATATAAGGACCTTTTTTTGCCAGGGTTATCTGGGTTAAAGTTGAATTATGATAAACGTTTACAAGGAGATTGAATTTGAGATTTGAAAACTCATAATCAGAAAATAGCAAAACATAAGAGTATTAATATGATTGTCATTCCTACAACAACAACAACAACAACAAAAAAGGTTACATAAAGCACATGGTGTAAACTACCTCATGGACCCTGCAAAAAGGAGCTTGTTTGCAATATACAGTTGTGAATAAAATACTGTATATCTCAGGACCACACCCAAGTTTTCGTTTTTAACCCTAACCCAAAATCCATCTACTTCATAGCAGAGAGAAGCGTGCACAGCGGTGCACCATGGGTTAGAAAATATGGTTGTCTTTGATCCGGGAAATTTTGTTAGTGACTTGCTGTCACGTGACCGTACGCCCTTCCGTCTTCATCACACTAACATCAATGTAAAAAAAAAAAAAAAAAAAAAACTACATCAACAGGTATGGCAACCCAAATGCAAATCGAGGTTTTTTGGCGCGAAATCGCGTGACCAACCGCTCCTTGTGAAGCAGAGATAATTAAAGAGTCACTAAGACAAAACGGAAAGCGGAAATTGTTTCTATATCCGTGTTGTCTAAAGTATTAAGCTTAGATTAATTGTCATATCCTCAGATTTGGAATTTAGAGAAAGAGACAGACAGAGAAAACGAGAAAGTAGGCGACAGGCTAGCGAAACTCAACGAGAAAGAGAGCGACATAGAGCTAGAGCGAGCGATAAAAAGCAAAGGAGACGAATTTAAGAAAATAAGAAATTCTAGCAGTCAGCAAGGTGAAAAACGAGCGGCACTGAAAAAAAAGGAAAAAAGAATACAAGCAACAAAATTTTTTGTCAGCACATGCAACATTTTTTTTCCATAAAACGTGTAATGAGGAAGTTTCACGTTGCAACAACAACGGAAAAGAAATGTTAAACAAAGCTAGTGTGCTGCATGTGCAAAGTTGTTGTTTGCTAATTAGACTTATTGTTTCTTTGGCCGTTCTCGTCGCCGTCACAGTTTAGTATTACACGATTTTATTTTTTGAGTAAATTATCAGTATATTTAACGTGAATTTCGCTTTTATCCCTGGCTATCATCTTATCGCACCCAAAACCCAAAAAGTAGAAGGGCAAATCCCAAAGGATAACAACCCCGTGAATGATAATTATAAAAAATGCAAACTTCCTCTGTCTCTGAAGGTGTATTCTAATTTTTCTTCCAGGACCCTAAAGAGGACTTTCTTAAGTTAAAATCGTCCTCACAGATCTCAGGAGAAGAGACTAGCAGATACACGGTGACTCGGACCAGAAGAATTATCACAAATTCAGGAGGACAAGTTAGTTCCACTACTAAAGACGAGAAAATTTCTTACTTTCTTATCAGCCTCTATATATACTAGATTCGCTTTCTATTAACGCCCACAGGAAGAAATAAAACTAATAATACATTAAACTATTCAGAGTAACATACTAAGGCCTAAAGAATCAAGTTAGACGTACAACAGGCCAACTTAATTCCGTTGTTAACTTCGTTAACCAAGTTCGATCTCTTCGATATTTAATTCGGCTTTGTAAAAAGAATTTATAGAAACATTTGCCTCTGCTTGAGATTAAAATACCAAGCAGACCTTCATTTCCAGAATGTTTTGGTACCGTAGTTTAACTGAGATGTTTCAAGGAAGCATAACAATATGGTATAAACTGTGTCAATTTAGCCACACAAATTTAATACCTTACATTTTCTAATCAACAGACCCTACAATCTTCAGCTGAAAATTCCCAAACCGTCATGAAAACAACAGATGGTAGAGATAAATACATTCTAGATAAACAAGGAGATGAAACGGATGCCAAATACAGAGTGACATTGCAAGTTACACCTATAATAAGCAACAACATAAAAGAAAGTCAGCAGACACTATTTCCGAGGGAAGATGAAAATAAGCAGAAGGCTAAAACCACTGTTCACGCAATAGAAGAGGTAATGACAACTAACAAAGAGCGCATGCCCGTAAGTGTTAAACGTGGTTATGATAATGCGTTATCCTTTTATATACTAGACTTTTTTGGCGCTTTAGTCATGTTGTTACTTCCCTTTACTTTTGACTGATATCTTTGGTTAGACGTCCTAACTTAGTAATAGCGAGCTTAAGCAACAAACACGGCGGTGGTTACGAAAACTTTACTTTACAAAAAGTGAATATGATTTGCTTCAAACTTTATCGTACTTATTCCGACCGAACTCTTTCAATTCGTCAAATGTTGGCAAATTTGTTCTGGGTTTTTATTGTAAAAGACTGTATCGAAGTTCAGGAAAAGAAAAAGAAAGTCGTTGTCTTGTGTTCACGTTCTCCACAAAACGTGGACTTAGGCCGCATTTTCACGTCCCAGTCGTGCAGTGACGGCAAAAAAATGTACAAAAAAAGCGTGATGCACGTGTAAAGTTGTTTTTTGCCAATCTAAGCCTATTAGTATTGCTTTTTTGCCGTTCTCGTTGCCGTTACTGTCGTCGTCGTCATTGCTTAAGCTCCCTATTGTTTATAAACGTGTTTGCTTTGTAAAGGAGGTTAACAAGGCAACAACTTTCTTTGAAAGGAAGTAGTTGTCTTCTTCACGTCCTTTACGGGACAAGAAAACTATTTTCTTGTCTTGTTCACGTCCTTTACAAAACCCGTGAAATTAGGCACTTAATCACGTCGTTGTTGTTGCAATGTACAAAAAACCGTGATGTTCTTCCAAAGTTGTTGTTTTTCCAATCTAAGGCCCTGTCCACCGTGACACTAATGTATTTCAAAAGTGTGCGTTTTCGTTGTCATCGACGACAACGCGTCGATTGATTTGCGTTCACACTAACGTTTTGATGCGTTTTCGACTGTCCATATTAAGAAGTTGGAAAACGATCGAGTTGCACGTTGAGATGTTAGTTGAACCATGTCCTTATCCTACAAACACCCGCCTGCGATATTTTCGGTCATGCTTTTCATTTTCATTTTTCGTCGTCGTTGCTTTATCCAGTTGTGGGACCATTTTTTTCATTCTCTCCTGGATAGTTTAAGATTGTGAAGTCAAGAAAAAAAAGTGGGGCAGAAAATCGCGTACTCGCGCAGTACTTGGTTTAATTATTATTTACTTCAGTTACTTTCGGAGCGTTTCCCGTAACGGGGCTCAGCTGCGCCGCGCTGATCTTGAAAGATGATTATGACATGTCAGATAGGTTTATGTGCCTATGTGAACGGTCATTCATACGAGCTTTTTTTTTTTTTTTTTTTTTTTTCGTGTCGACGTAATAAGCTGTCCGGTATAGTGCAGACATGGCATTAGTCTCTGGTCCAAGGATAACAAGATTTGAATTTATGGGTGATTGTGCCTAAGCCGTGTCCGTTAACACCTATTTCATTTTTTCTTCCTTTAAGAGACTGTAGTTCCACCTTAATTTACATTAAAACATGTCCAGCTAGTGCTAAGAGAAAATAATAAGAGACATATTATAATGATTAACGGCTAATGTACGCAATGAACTGAAGACAAGGCCGGCGACCTTTCGTTTTTGTAGTATCATGAATAAAATCTCTCAGGTCAACATCTCGCTGAACTCTTAATTTCTTTCATTCGGTACAGAGAACGTCACTAAGTGGTCCAAGAGATGTTCTGTTGATTTCAGCGGAAAGATTCTCCAACGGCGGAGGCACGGCACGTGAAGCAGAGCCTGCTAACCATGATTCTTCATATTCCCTCACTGATAAAGATGGCAGGCCTGCCTCTGGAGTCAGCCCAGCTCAATATTATAAATATGGCATAGATAATTCAACTTCTGCAAGGTAAGTGAAAAAAATTGACTTCGGCTTATTTGGATATTTTAAATCGCTGAGCAGTGACCTTTGTAACTGTATATCTTTATGGTTGCATTTTATTTGTTTTTATCAGATGCTTTTTTATCTATCTGTTTTTTTAGTTATTGATTTACATTTCTCCAGTTGTCTATTTATTCATTTATTTATACAATCTTTCGATAGTTTGTTATAATATTTTGGGCACAATCGTTACTCTAGAGCAAATCGAGTGATTCAGGACTCATTAATGCCTTTAAATAGAGATTAAAAAAACAGCTTTTTTTCTTGTTCCTGATTCTCCGATCGTTCAATGTGATGTTGTTAATAACGACGATGATCATAATTATCGTAAAATCTTATTTACTTCATCAAAATAAATTAATGTGGTGGTGTTTATTAAATTTTTGGTAAACAGTGGGGAACTCGAGTTCGTTAAAGTGACAAATGACGAGGAAAATTTGTGACTACAAAAGCTTAAAAATTGCATTGAAAAGGCCACATTGATTAGTTTAGGTATCTTTAGAAGAGCAAAAACATCAGCTGCATGACAAAGACTCAAAGCTTGGAACTCAATTCCAATGTCATTTTGTCCTCGTGAGCTATCATTCAGTTATACTTTTTAGATACATGACTCAAATTGAGATCAATTTGGAAGGAAACCGAGACAATAGTGGGTAAGACAAAGGTTTGCTTCTCTTTTCACACCATCACAAGCAAACTGACGTACTAATCGAAACTTCCTTGTTCATAACCGGTAAAAATGGTTTGAGTGGTATTTTGTATGATTTTTTATTTTAATTAGCTGGTAACTGGTAGCACAGTGTTTATGGGGTTTATCTATTTGTTTAGGTCCGACCGCATCATTTTTCAAACATGTTTAAATATGGCTTAGCTAAACTAGTTTAAAGGACGGTGTTCTCCGAAAGCCAAATGGTATTTCGAGTTTACTAGTCTACAAAAGCGAAAATCATCGTAATGTTCGCTTTATTATCTCAGGTTTCCGATCACTTAAGCTATCGAAAAAGGGTCGAAGAAAGTGCAGTTACTTTTTAACATTATTTTATTTTTGCGAGTCGCGTGTGTCACTGACTGAAAAATCATCTTTCTCACATTAAAACATGTTTGAAAAAAAGAACTTTGGAGCTACTGAAAGTAGCGCAGTTGTTATACATTGCCTCATTTTATCTAATCACTAATGAACTGACACATGCACTGATATACTAACACATACCGGTGAAGACTAGGAAATTGTTGAGTGGAACATGTCTTTACAGCATGCTCCCTCTTTAGCACTGAATGGAACACACCGAAAATCTAAGGGTGTGTTCCATGGTCATTGGGACGATCAGGATCAGGATCGACCATCCTAGATCACTCAGATCATGGTGCATCAAATGAATCAATCAGTCCTTTTCCAGGGTGGATTCATCGGTTCTTTTGATTTGATGCCTATCCAGATCTTTCCAATTGAACACGCACAGATTCGATTTACTTTGTCGCCACTTAATAGGACATGGATTCAAACCTGTTGAATTTCATGTAAACTGTTTCTGGAGCAGAATTTTCTCCGTGTATTGTCTATCGAGTACTCCCACTTGTCCGGCCTCAACAATATTGACTGGATTGTCTCCAAGTATGTCCCGGCGTCTTAGTTCGTAAGACGATCTGAGTCACCTTGTTCCGTCTTTTTTTTTTTTTTTTATTTTTATATAAATTTCTGTTTTGGTGGGTTGTCAACAGGTCCAATGAGTTAGTGGATTATCTAAAGAAGAAGCTTGATACCGTGGATCAAAGCCTATCTGATTTGGAATGCAGTGTTAAGCACTCAGACAAGGATTCCATGGACTTGAAATCCGCTAAGAATGCTTTGGATCAGCACAAGGTAAAAAAGCATCTTTTCTTCCGATAGCAGTTTAAGATACCCCCACCCCACCCCCTCCCTTAATATTAGGCGAATTTTGTTTACCTATTTGACAAATGATCTTTTTTGCAGGTGTGATTGCAAGTTATGTAAATTGTACGTCCTCTATTTAAAGTAACCTATCATCATTCAATTTTGCAGTTACCATGCGACATATTTTGCAACTTAATGTCCAAATAAAGCGTGGCACCTGTATTTTGCGCAAAAAAGTACGGAAATCATGTGTTTTTCACCGATATTTATTTAGTAATAAATCCATTTGATAGTTAGGTAATTAGACTACAGTGTAATGCGTTCTGTGCCCATTCGCTATAGATGTTACTAAGACAGCATTCACACTTGGTGCCTTGCTACAGTGCACTGATGTGAACACAACCTTTTTTGAAGTACCTACGCTAGAATTCGGGCACGGTGCCGGTGCCTAAGTTAAGATTGAGCCCTTGTACTCAGGCGCAAAGTGAGCACCGCGAACTTGTGTGCACACTGTTTTTGTTACTTTTAAGGCAATCCACTGCTTTGTACTCGCTGCTAAGCTTACGTCTCAAAAATGGCGTCTGAGTGGAATTAACTATGTACACAGTTATATATCGGGTACCCAGGGTGTGAACACAACACCATTTTGTACCTGTACCCAGACACTGGTTCCCGGGCACAAAAGAGTGGACAGGCCCGTAGAAGCTGGTTAATTTTCTTTTTATCTGATTCGTATCTCAGGAGGTACTCAACCATTTAACGTCAGTAGAATCCGACACATATGATGTTCAGGAGGAAGGAAAGCAATTGATAAAAGACAAGCGCTTTGACAGAGCACATGGGGAATACTTTCATGATAGAATTGAAGTAACAGTCATAAGGATAACAACTATTAAGGAAGACATTAACAGAGAGCATCAAAGGTATGCCCCGTGTTCACTGCTTCTTAAGAGCCAAATTTGTATCACACGTGTTGTAACCATCTCTGATAATACCGTCGTCGTTTCTTAGAAATGAGTTCAATAGTTTTTTTTGTTTTAGCATATGACTTCAGTGTCTTCTCTGCAGATGGAACTTAACTAGGATATTAAACAAGTAGCACAAGTTTTGTTCTCCTGTTTTCCAGATTGTTCGATCTATATCTTATTTTACTAAGACAACACTTGGAACGGATGAATGATTGGCTGTTGCGAGCTGAGTCTCGAATATCATTGGATGATGTGATAGAACCAACTTATAAGAGAGTGCAACAGCAAGTCTGGGACCATCAGGTACATGAATGTGTGTTTACTACATTGGTGGTAAGGGAGAACATGCATGATCGCAGGCCTTCACGTTATGCTCAATTAAGACGAAGTACGTGATAAACATTCATTAAGTGACCCAATTCTCAGACACCTCAAAGTGGCTTGCTCACAACTCACTTGTTTGAAAATATAGAATACAATGGTCTTCGCATTATGCATGTAGTGCATAACAGTGAAACGTTTACTTTCACCAGGATTAATTGAATTATTAACAATAACATATGCCATTGTCGTCTTAGACTCTTGCTATTAAATATCTGAAATATCTCTAATTAAAATCTCTCTGTGAAAGGTTTGAACCCAGGAGCCATTTTAAAAGTAGGTTGAGTTTGATCGTCCAGGTGAACGTAGTCCTGAATAGGACTGTTGTTGTTAGGACAGTCGTCTATTGTTAGTCAAATTGTTAGTTCTCCAGTCGTTCTCTCGTAGTTATTGACGAGATCAATTCAAGCAAAACTAACTACGAGAGAACGACTGGAGAACGATGACCAATAACATCGCGACGTAATTGACCAATCAGATCTATAGCCAGAGTATAATACGTATCAACTGACTTTATACAACTCACTTGTTTCGACAACCTGTGCGGTAGTCATCTTCAGAGTCAAAGTGAGTTGTGTAAAGTCAGTTGATGGTATTATACTCTGGCTATTGATCTGATTGTTCAATTACGTCGCGATGTTATTGGTCATCGTTCTCCAGTCGTTCTCTCGTAGTTAGTTTTGCTTGATCTCGTAAATAACTACGAGAGAACGACTGGAGAACTGACAATTTGACTAACAATAGACGACTGTCCTAACAACAACAGTCCTGTTTAGAACTTCGTTCACCCGGACGATCAAACTCAACCTACTTTTAAAGTCTCTCTGATATTAATATAAATGTCTGTAATATTTAACTCACCAGTACATTTCTATAAACCTGTAGAGTGTAGTAAATTCGTTTATGGAGCTCCAGTTGTACGGTCAATTATCTTAGAAAATTAAAGACGCCGTTGAAACCACAGGGTCCAGAGGAGATGTGTTTGTCCTTAGAACATCAAAACCCGTCGAAAACCTCTGAAAAAATGGGTTATTTTGATCGCGTTACGGTTTCGTTACACATTCTATAGACCGCAAACCAAGAGACTGAGGGCTCGCAAGATCGGCTTACAGTATAAAATACGGAAAGGGAGGAAACAAATTTGGGGCCGATTTTCGAATCCCTGAAACTCAAATGGAATTGAATGAAATCGCCTGATTTTACTAACCTGATCTAGAATTCTTATGTATTTGCCAAATACTGTAGGAAAACGGCATAAGAAAGCGTTCAAATTCATTTTCGGCGACCGAAATTTACGGCTTCTAGAGAGCGCTTTCGTTCGGTGTGCACCGCAACACATGGTGACGGAAATGACGTAGTAAAGTAAATGTGTTCAAGATCGGAGCAATAAAAGGGAAGCCTACACGACGTTTGTCTCATGCCAAAATGCTGCTCTTTCCAATAAAGTTTTTTTCCTCTGCTGGGTAGATTATGCTCTGGAAGGTTCTACAGCAAATGTGATTTTAGCGGGATCTAGCGGGGATTTTAGCCGCATGTTTCACACTGAGAGGTCATGACACATATCGATTTACTGTGGTTATTGTTTCTGGTTGGCAGGATTTGCCCTCTGATGCAAGCGCAATTTCTCTGACTTCTTTTGAAGCGTAAAGCTTTTTATTACAGCTGAACAAGGGTTCCAGTTCTCTCCAAAGTGCCTTCTGGATCTGAATAACTAAGCGATTTTCTCTAGTCCGTGAATGTAATGTTTTTCTTCAATGCTGTATCACGCTGGGCCCAGCTTGTTAGTTTTGTTTGGAGAATGTTAAATTATTACGGATAGTGATTTACGGGTCGTGTGTACTCTTGCAATAAAAAGTAACACTGAGTAGAGCGGGCGTACAAGGCAACTGTAATATCATCACGACTGTGCCATTCTTCGGTGGTCCAACTATATTACCTCTTGCGTCTTTGGCTGTGCGTTTTGCGACTACTGGGAAGCCTTCGCACAAGCAAAACCTGCTTAAGACATCGAAGACTGTGGAAACGTACAACAAATGTCCAGTCTTGAAAGATCTTCACTTCAATTAAAACTCTGTTGTTTTCGCATAGATCTCTGAGATCTTTAAAACTCTCTCCGCAGCTGATGTTTTGATTCTCGAATTAGCAGCGGTCTGTTGCTTTTGCGTTTCCGGTCTCATTCCGACTTCCGTCACCGAGTGCTGCGGTTCACATAGAACGAAGTCACGCGGTGCAAGTTTCCTCCCTTGTCCTTTCTTTTACTCGGCATTTCGTGCCTCGGTCGCCCTCCGGGCGACGTGCCGTGTGCCAGCAAGGATATGGCTTGCGGTTATTGATTTTCAAAAGTCGATCTGGGTCAGATAAGAAGCGAAGAAATCGTTTACAGTAGATTTATAAAGATTCCATTGGGCTAATTTATCGTGCTAAGCGACAGGTATAGACATTTTTCAAGGTAAGTAATTCATTTATTCACACGAAACTCCTCTGGACCCTGTGTTGAAACCGGCGAAATGTCTGTCCCAAAAAAAGGCAAGGAAATGATTGAAGATCAACAGGGGGCCAATTTTACAATGTGGTCGTACCTGTCCATACCAGGAAGCTCTCAGTTTTTTTAAAGTTGTCTGTTAATAGGGAATTGACTGTGTCTTGCAGTTATATTATTATGAGTTGGCTATAAAATGGCCGCACGAATTTCATGTTTCTCTACTGCTGTTCTGTAGGCGTTTCAAGAAGAACTGTCAAATTACTCGATGGCAAACATGATACTGGATATGGACTTAGAACACCCAGCTTTGGATGAAACCATAAGGGACTGGGTCAAGGTATTTTCAACATAAAAAAGCTGTATTGTTGGACCACAACTCCCCCCCCTCCCATGGGGAGCACTCCCTATAGTGGCCTATACCGGAAGGCTCCGCCTGAAATGAGTACCTTTTTCAGGTTTCAGGTATATGAGAGGGGTGAAGTATAAGGGAAGGGGATTTTGTAAATTTGGTCCATATAAAGGAATACCATATGCATTTTACGGCTGTGAATAACTCGAGTCTAGTCATATCTTAAAGAGAGTAAATTTAAAGCGGTTATACGGGATGCAAAGTTTTTAAAATTAGGTATGTGAAAGGAGTATCATTTGTCAATAGAAGGTATACTAAAGGGATACCTTTTCCGCAAAAAATGAAGTATCAAAGGGTAAAAGTTTGGACCTCAGGGCGAAGCCTCCTCTTATAAAACTTTGTTGAGTACCCGCCAGGTTTGAAAACCTATTTCACCTCCAGGTTTATAACTACAGGTACTAAGCGAGCGTTGGGCGGCTGTGTGGAACTGGGCGGAAGAGTGGAAGGAGAAGCTTAACCAGGCTCTTATTGACTGGGAAAATTTGCGTGAAGAAGAAGCTGCGTTGCTTTCCTGGCTTTCAAGTAAAGAACAAGCCTTTGATTTGATTGGAGAAACAGACATCACCAATGAAGAACAAGTTACGATGCATTTAAATCTGCTTGAGGTAAGAGTTATTATTTCATGCCATTGATGCCTTTTAATTCCTAAGGTCATTTTTCTTTTCGTCTCCTCTTCTTGAGCCGAGTGAAATACTCTTCGCTTAAAGAACCAAGAATTGACTAAGGAAATGTTTATGATTTTAAATAAACTTGGATGATGGGGGGACCATCAAAAAATTTTAATGAAAACAGATTACTTGTGGAATAAAAATTAATTCGAATGCCTTTGTTCACGCCACGCCATTATGAATAACAAGAGAATAATGGTAGAATTTATGAAAAGTGGTTCGACTCTTAAAAAGATGTGGCCAGTTTTCAAGAACGATTATCAGCAATCCTTAAAGATCATTCATTTTCGTATTTAGAAGTCGTTTCCACAGCCCCAGGTTATTGTTGGTTTTCGCATGACGTCACTAAAATTCAAACTAAAAAACTATCAATCCTACCGAGATTTTACTTTCACGATGCATTAGAGCAGCTGAAAACTAATTTTCATAGAATGTTTCGCTTCAAAAGGGTTCTTGGTTTTGTGATAGAGTACGCTTGAATTTGTAAGCTTTTGCGTGACGCGGCATTTACATAACGGCCAAAAGGGCCGTCATGTAGGTTAAAAAAATGACTTATTTCAGGACATTTTGCAATCTAAACAGTTCATGTATTAGAAAAAGTATTACTTTAATGTTTATGAGTTTCTCGACGAATAAATTCACGCTTTTGAAGCAAAACTCGGTAACAGATGTTTCTGTTGGTTTCCGTCCGCCATGTTGGAGCTCATCCAGGTGAGCACCAGCATGGCGTCTACACACAAATCTCTGTAAGTTTGGCTAAAACATTTCTTCGGATATTCCTCTGACCTGAATCTTGGCGAGGGTCTTTGTATATATACCTCCTTTCATTTCCCAGATTCTGGACTTTATCTATTGAACGGTTTTGATTTTTATGATTTTGATCTATTTTGAATGGCGTGACACTGAAAACCAGCAATTGCATTATCGGAAAAAAATAATTGTTAAAAATTTTAAGTGCGACGGAACAGTGTCGCCTGATTTAGGGTTCACTTAACTAGCATAAGAAATTGGCGCGTCTAATGCGTCCCTCGTCACTTTGTCTCTCAGACAACGGAAAAAGAAATGGAAAGCCACGAGGGGCGATTGGACTCATTGCATGAGACTGGAGAAAAGCTGATCAAGGACGCTGTGTACCACGATGCAACGGCTAAGGGGATCCGTGACCAGGTGAATGACTTCGGTACTTGCTGGAAGGACATCACTGAATCGATTAAGGAAAGGAAAGCAATGGTAAGTGATGTGATTGGCCATTATAAAGTAACCGCGGAATTATCCTTTTTGTAATGCACATCATCATCATCAACATCATCATCATCATCATCATCACCACCATCATCATCATCATCATCATCATCATCATCATCATCATCATCATCATCATCAACATCATCATCATAATCGTTATCTTCGTCATCATTATCGTCATGAAGTCGATCTGGATCTGCCTTTTACGAACATCTTCCACGTTTTCTTGTCCAACCGACAGTCGATGAATGTTCTTACTACCGTGTGGCACGAAATTTTTGCGGGAGTTTATTTTTGAAGATTGGCGATTGGCGTGATTTTTTGTGTTTTGCGGGAACTAATTTTTGCGATTTGGACAGACTGGTTTTTCTTACTGGGAACTGAATTTTTTGCGAAAGAAAGAGAGTCCCGGGCAAGTCATTGACAATATTTTCGTCCGTTTTTATTGAGTACGTGCAATGGAAATACATATTTTAAAACAACACTACGTTTTGCGTACCCTGTGAAAAACCCATAAAATAGATATACGTTCGTTTTTCATTCCATTGCAAAAAACGAACAGACATGACTGCTTTGTTTGTACTGTATTCTTGTATTCTTGTGTAGCGAATTTAAGTTAGAGAATATTTACTCTGGAGTAAATTTTTGGGAAAAAAATGTTCGCCGTATTCTTCTTCTTCTTCTTCTTTTTTTTTTTGCGGGAACTTATTTTTGCGAAGACATCTACCCTGCTGACTAGGTGTTTCAAACAGTTTCTTTGCTCTCAGCGTTTGGCCTCCACGTTTGGAAAGTCACTCAGCGCTGTGTTTGTTGCGAGTTCGAATTCTGCGTGACGGTACGTAGAGTCTGTCATCAACGCCGTATCGCATTTGTCTCTGTGATCGAAGACGCTCCACTGTTGACAAAAACTGTCAAAATCAACCAATCAGAGCGTATACCAGGATCTGGTATACCGGAACGCTTCTTACCAGCGTTCCCGCACCTCTCTCCCCAGTCCTCCTCTACTTTTCATCGCTCTCTTTACTTCGCACCGCTCTCCACAATCTGAACGCTTGGAACAGGCTACGTACTTGCGGGCGCAAACAGTTACCTACCGATTCCTCGCGGCCCCTGTTCAAGCAAATCGAGATTTTTTTCTGGCGTACTGACTGTATGTTTCAACTGTAAGTACTTTCCATAATATACGCGCGAGTTACTAGAGTGCCTCCTCGGGATTTCACCTTCTGGGCGAAATCCCTGCGGAGGCAATAAGTCGAAAGCTTAATCTCGGAACTATGACTAGATTGCTGTTTTCAATTCAGTTTGTTTGTTTGTTTGTTTGTTGTTCGTGATGATGCTGTTTTTTTATTTGTCCGTCCGTTTTTGTTGTTTTTGTCGTTTTGTTCGCTGTTGTTGAAACCACAGGGAGTCCACACAATCTGTTTGTGTAACCGATTCTTATTTTATACTAAATGTATTGGATTTACCGTTTGCTTCCTCTATAGCGACATATCGCTAAACATGTATATAGATCAATGTTAAATAAGTGTTTTGTTGCCTTACCTTCGGTACCTTGTCGCCCTTTTCATTCAAAAGAGTTATTTTGAGCGATTTGGAAGGATTTTGAGTTCTCCGTTTACTGTAACTCTGAGGCAAAAGGACGACAATTAATGTACCGCAGAACGGTAATACAACGTTTATTTAACATTGACCTGAGTACATATTTAGAGTTTTATCACTTTAGTATATGATGAAGTAAATGGTAAATCAAATACACTTACCTATAAAATTACAATCGGTTACACAAACATATTGTGTAGGCCCCCTGTGTTGAAACATGGACTGTTTTTGTATTCTAGCTTGAGGAAGCTCAGAACAAAGTGAAAAGAATGGGAATTTTAATGAAGGAAGTCAGAGCTTGGTTGTACGAGGCAGAACAATGTATCAAGCTTGCTAGTTTGCAAGAGGATCCAAAAAAAGAAACCAAAATACAAGAAAAGATTGAGGTCAGTATAAAGTACTATAAAATAAGCTGGCATTATTTTCAGTTACAAATTACAACTGCGTCCGGTTTTTTCGTTAAGGTAGAATGACGCATTCGAAAAACTAATTAATACTTTATATAAAAAAAAAAACAAACAAACAAATTAAAAATTAATGTTTAATGAGTGTCCTTATATCTGATAATTACACGGCTAAACTTTACGTCCAATTTCTTAGACAAAAATAACCCCAAATCTAAATCAGTGTTAGTGCAAGAATGAGTTGATCGACATCAGAGATTTTGAGGCCGTTCAAAAAACTCGCAGTCGTGTATTATCTGGTTTAAAAACACTCGGCTTCGCCTCGAGTTTTTAAGCTTGATCATACTGCTCGTTTTTTAAACAGTACTACAGAATAGTAGTACCTTTACCATGAGGAGATACAAATCTTTGTTTTTAGTGGCTTTCCACTTGGCTACTCTAGCTAGAACAGGGACTCCAATTGAATAGCCACAAGGAAACAAAAGAAATTAAACATATCGATATAAGGTCTACCTAGCCTGCTCCGCAGACGAAACTAAACTTCTGGTTAAGTCCGTCTGCGAAATAGCGCCAAAATCCTTGTTCTGGGCCGCCACTCAAATACCAGCATTTGAGTACCCGCCATGACTGGCCTGTTAAAAATCCCGTTGTCGATTTGCCGGTCAGGGGAATTCAAAATGCATTTGCAGTAATTCGTTGAGTCCGAATAGGCTTTGCTTCTCAGACGTTACTAACCGGAGTTGGATTACGCTTGGGACGCAGGCTAGGTACACCATATATGTGAACATTCTTAGCACTTTGATCTATGATTTTAAATAGCTTTATTTTTAGTTGCTTATTTCTCTTATTAATACCGCAAATACTTTTTTTATTATCATCTCTGCAGACTGAATGCGAAGAAAGAGAAAAAAATAAGCCTAAGGTTGACGAAGTCAAAAGGCTGGAAGACTTGCTCAGCAATGAAATCGACAAAAAGTCAAATTATTATTTGAAAAGAGTCACCAAGCCGTTCCACAAGAGGTGGGATGACGCTAGTATGGCCCTTGACAGATATCGCAATGAAGATTACCCGTTTGCCAAACCCAGCGATTGCTTCCTGGTCGAACGTCTCAAGAAAGCCCTAATAGTAAATTAAACTTATTTAGATGCGGACACAGGAACTGCGGCCCTTAAAAAAGATTTCAGGTTTCGTAGATTAGCAAAAGCGCAAATTGGTTATATTTATAACCTGTTCTTAAGTAGCAAAGGAAACAATTCAAGATTCGATAGCGATAGGAAACGGAGCTAAGAAATACAGCTAGCTATACTGCAGTGATAGCATAACATCGATCCATATCCTCAAAATCCTTCCGAAATCTAAGAATTTAAACACAAAAAAACTCAGAACCAAACCAGAGCACTTAGGCCTCTTCAACGCGCCCCATTATATCCTAGTTATCCGCCCCTAATGAGGAAATGCAATGGTATTCTAGGCGGGATGGGAGGCAGAAAGAGGCAGTGGCAAGTGGTGGGAATTCTTAGTCTTCCGTTAGTGTTTATTCCTTGAGCATGAATTGTGTTTCAGTAAATGGATAAATCTGCTACTCTTAGTCTTGATATGAAGGCCTGGGGTTCTTACACACTCGGTGGCTCTGGCGAATAGCTCAAGCAAATTGTTAGCACAAATAGGGGTGCAATGTCTGTTCCTTTCTTATGTCACCTGGAGTGTGAGTGGTGCTTAAAACAACCTTCAGCCTCGGGTTGATCAGTATTTCATCCAAAAACAAAATGAAAACTTGCAGAAAAATCCCAGAACGAGTACGAGAACAAAAGGCTTTTGTTTTCCAAAAAATGGTATTACACGAGAAAAAAATAAGGACTGGGTAATCTTTTCTCAGTCCTTAAACAAACTATGCAGCCTTTCTGAGAAGCGGGCATCATAAAAAAGGAATTTGATATCTGCAAGATGTAATGTTTCCTGGCGGTAGATCTATACATATTGTGTAGCATACTTAAGGACGCTTAGCGAGAGATATCGCATTGATCTTCTCACTTTCTCTCCTTTTCTGTCTGTAAAGGCATTTGAGCATAGTTTATGGACCGGTCATTATTTATCGCCCGAGTTGTGGGGGCGGGGTGGGGGGGCGAGGATTTTAGGGGTGATCACTTGATCATTACTAGATTTTTAGGAGAACGAAAGTGGGAGGGGTGGCGGGGGCGGGTCAGTCGTAACTTAGAGCCCAAAAGGGGGATCACTGAAAACTTTGGTAGTATTCAGAGGGGGACCACTCAAATTTGCTTGGAAAATGAAGACATGGTGGGTGGGATCGCGAAAGTAATCAAAAGTTACTAGGGGGGATCACTTCAGTGAAGTAGCATTCCAATGGGGAATCGACTAAATTTCACCTTGTTTAGCCCCTAATCCTTTACCCTCCCCCGGCGATAAATAATGACCTGTCTCTTAGTAGAGGGGTCACCTCTATTAACAATTATTTGAGAGAGCACGAAATACACAGCGCTTGCTTGCCCACAATATTTCCAGCATAAATTGACAAATTTGCCCAAAAAAGAGAACTAAGATCAAATTGATTAGAAACAATTTAGTTAACATTAACATTTTCTTCAATAAGCCAGCTATCTAACAATCACAAATAAAATAGCCGTAATTTGGGTTTCGCCTTTAAAATTACTGCTTGTATTGGAACCACACCCAGAGAATGGATGGAATGCAATTCCTTTGTTTCACTTTTATTTACAGGTGGTGTGATAAAACACCCGATTGTTGCTCGGCCGATCAAATATAAGCTCGTTTACAACAGGTGCAATGTTTGTCGAATAACACAGGGCGTTTCACGTGCTGCAAAATGTATTTAAAAGCAGCCTGCACTTAAGTTGTTATTTATTCACCGACTCAAAGTATACATCGTAAGACAAGGTCGTATTTCGCAAACTGTAATTTTTAGCACTTCAAAAGATCGCTAAAGCTCAAGTAGGTGTACCCTGGTCCCAGAGGTTTTTCTTGATTTTTCTTCGCGAAAGAGATCAAGAGCAAGCCGCGAAGCGGCGACACCAAGTCGCGAAAGCGACGAGGAGAGAGAGAAAAACCTCTGGTTACCTTGGCCTCAAATCTCGCTTTCATGCAGACGACAGGGTCAGGATCTGACCCTCGAGCGTTGATTGGTTGATATTTTTTCAAACACACAAACCAATTTGATTGGCTCGTTTAATTGTAACTACCGAGGGGACGCTGAAGATTTTCACACCTCATTTTGCCTCTCTCTACCAGGGAAGAAAATTGTTTGTATGCTGCACTTACAATAACATTTGCACGGGACCAGGGCACGTAAAGGCACGCCATATTTCGAGATTTTGACATGGATGTTGTTCCTGAAAGAATATTCGAAGAAATTTTGACCTCGGTACTTGATGAGCGCTTTCCTGAGTCTCACTGAGCAACAAACGAAAGCTTTGTTCGCCGCGTTGAGTCGAAAGGATGTGTTCACCATATTATCAGCCGGACATGGAAAGTATATAAAATTTCAGTCGTTACCTGATGTTTGCAAGTACCTTTCCTTAAGAGACTACTCATACCCTCGCCATGCAATAATTTTGGTTGTCTGCCCTCTCAAGTCCCTTGTGGACTCGCACATCCGCGAAATGCGAAACCGTGGTGTCTCAGCAACCAGTTTGAGCAGTCCAGACGTTGACGTGCAGAATCTCGTGTCTCGATGTATTTACCATTTTCTGTTCCAATACTGTCATTCCATCAAATAAACTAACTTGTTTAGGGCAGCAAAATATAAATCTCCGAATACGGAATGAAAGTTTCCTTGTAGGTAAAAAACATACAACTTTGTACAAGTACGTAATCATTTTCGGTGCAGCTTGCATTTTCCTGCGACGCCCAATATTTATCTTTAAAGATCTAACTAACGTTATTTTTGGCATTGGGTCAACAAAAACCTCTGAAAGTACATTCCGAACCTTAAGGGTTTGTTGTGCTGCATGACTCTCCCTAGCGCCGTTGTTCCACAAAAAAAAAGAAATTGAGAAAAAACGTTGATTTTAGATCGGCCACTTATTTTTACATAAATTCTGCAAATCCTGCAGCAGTCGTTTGGAACAATGTTGGTGTCTTTATAAAGTGGTGTTCTTACTCCTGGACTCTTTTCGCCCATCGTTAACACATGCTTTAGCTTGACCCCGATTAACAAATCACTCTTTACCACCCAAGTGGAGATGGTTTGTTCATAACATAATTTCCCCAGTCTACCCTCACTTAAAAAAAATAGCGGCTGATAAGCACGTGTTTGCTAAATTGCCATTGGTCACTCTTTTTATTAGCAATTTGACGCGTTTGACAGCTGTCGTCTGCATGAAAGTGAGATTTGAGGCCAAGGTAACCAGAGGTTGTTCTCTCTCTCCTCGTCGCTTTCGCGACTCGTTGTCGCCGCTTCGTGGCTTGCTCTTGATCTCTTTCGCGAAGAAAAATCAAGAAAAACCTCTGGGACCAGGGTAAAGTAGGTAAAGAAATGAAAGGAGTCAGTCAACGCCGTCGACTTATCAACAACATCGAGTACTACCTGGACGAATATGATTATTATAATTTCGACCCTGCACTCATAACAGTGAGCCATTCTCGCAAAGGAAGATCAAAAAGGGAAGCTAGTTTGAACACTATACTCAGACCATGCCCAGCCGGCCACGAAAGGAAAGTGCTGAGTAAACTTCAAAATACGGAGAAGAAGAGAAAAGTAATGAACTACAGAGCCTCTGGAAAGTAAAATTCGCTTTTTCCCTTGAGGAACTAAGAAATCTGTGAAGGATCTTCGTCATACTGCATCAAGAGGAAGGATTGCTTAATACAAACTGATCGATGTATATAATTTTTAGATATGTTGTGAACTTTAATCTTATGAAAGTACAAGGCGAGCATATAACGTTGTGCCGCACACCGCTTTTGCGTGTTTTTTAATCTAAATATGCTGCCATTGGTTTTGAAAATATGCGGCATTTTGTGTTAGTGCCCAGTCCCGCCCATGAAAATGATTTCTTTTTTCGGACTTTTATTCGAAATTGTTTCAAGATTTCCAATCTCAGATACGATGTACCTTATAGTTTTAACATCATAAAGCTTAATGCAGCTATCAGATTATAATAATATGTAGATTCTAATATGTAGATTTAGCCAAGGCTAAAAGCGAAGCGTCCATTTATATACTTTTAGTCTCAGGTAACCCAGGCTCTGTGATAGTACCACAGTACGGTTCCAGTAAAATTACAGTGTTTGTATGGGGTAAAAATACCATCCTAAAATTTCTACTCAATTAAGATCAATAAAACTTAATCTGCAGTTAATTGTTGTTGTCCTTATTACTCCAACGAAGTTTCGTGATAATAGAGAGTTTTAGATCCGAGTTTACCGCGAACCTCTAACCGCGGTTTGCGGTTACCCGTTTGCGGTTCGACGTTCAAACATAATTCGATTTAGATTGGCGGTGGATTAAACAAGTGGATTCTGGTTTATTATTCCATTTAGAAATAGAAGAAAAATTAATCAGTGAAAATAAAAGAAATTTACGGCAACACTGGGTTATCTAGCAGCAAAGAGCTGTAAATTCTTACATTAGTTCTTCTTGCAATTTTACGGCCGCCATTTTGAATCAGCAGCCATGAATGGCACTTGCTTTCAAGATCCAATAGGATTTATCAAATTTAGCATTTCGCCCGAATTTGTGCCTCTGTTAATGTATAAAGACTTGCTCCACAAGATTTTTGTATCATTACGTGGGATGAAACAATAATTATACGCTAAAAGCTGTCAGGTAAATGACATACGTGAAAACCCAGCTCCCCACGTTGAAAACGCACGTTGTAAACCTCAAACGTGACGCGAAAGACTTGTCACGTGACCTCCAGCGGTTAGAGGTTCGCGGTAAACTCGGATCTAAAACTCTCTAATTTGCAGCAATTTGTTCAAATTCACTCTATATACAATAATAATATATAAGGTAGGAGACACGAGATGCCATTTTCGCCGACACGCTCTCATTCAACACAACTTTTCCCACGAAATTCGAACTCCAACGGAAAATAAACATGCCAGGATCGTAGAAATAGGATAGAAGCAGATATAGAAACCAATGAAGCTTTCCC